GATAACGATTCTGCCCTCGCGCGTGTCAGTATTGTCAACTTTAACGGCGAACAAGTATATGATTCGTACGTCAGGCCCAAAGAGATGGTTACAGATTGGCGGACGCACGTGAGCGGCATTTCTCCCAAGCACATGGCGGAGGCTCGATCCCTCGAACAAGTCCAGAAGGACGTTGCAGAGATTCTTGACGGGCGAATACTCATTGGACATGCTGTGAGTAATGACTTGGATGCCCTTCTTCTGGGCCATCCCAAGCGCGACATCAGAGACACAAGCAAGCATCCTCCTTACCGAAAGATCGCTGGTGGCGGCTCTCCACGCCTGAAAATCCTGGCGTCTGAGTTCCTAGGCCTAAATATTCAGGACGGGGCGCACTCTAGTGTCGAAGATGCCAAGGCTACGATGCTCCTGTATAGACGAGATAAAGAGGCATTCGAGCGGGAGCATTTGAAGAAATGGCCAATTCGCGTCGTCGTCGACAAAAAGGAAAATGGCGAGGACCAGAAGAAGAAAAAGAAAAAGAAGAAGAAGCCTCGTAAGAGGTAGCGAAACCTCATAGCTGCAGTTAGAGACCTTATATACCCCTAGACCTTTGTCTCTTGTGTACATATCGCATCATCCATTATTTGAAGGACCAGCTTCGAATAATCGAATAACTCAGGAAAAACTTTTTTTTTTGATTTCTGATTGAACTCAGTATATGCCGCCGTCATTCTCATTTCCATCTTTAGTCCAGCATCGTTAAGTTTTTCCGCTGCTCTATACTACATTGAATCTGCAGCAATTTGACCGTTTTGGGATGGCGCATTTCCTATTACCTATCCACTTAACGCGGCCAACGCGTCGTGTCAGCTTGTTCCGAAGAACAACCACACTGGTACAGCAAAACATCCCTTCTAAAAATACAGGCATTGAACAACCGCAAACTAATTTTTAACTCCTCTTCTGGTTGCTTTGCAACCTGCACAAAGTACTCAAGACTTTGCGTCAGCTGGTCTAGAAATGTTTACCATCCAAGCACCTCAAAAACAGTCATCTGCAGCCGATAATGAGAAGTCGACGGAGAATTGCACCCCTAATATCCTTCCCTGTAGAATCCACCATGATGGGTTCGTTGAGACTCTAGAGCGTTACTGGAACCCTGTGTCCGATGAGAAAAGTAAGCATTGTGTTATGCACACGGAGTCAATTTTCCCTGGGTCTCTTTGTCTGTCTGCTAACATTGACGTAGATGAGAACCTACAGACTGCTTACTTCCGAGGACGCAAGCTTCGAGGCCGACGAGTTGCAATTCCGGAAGGCTACCAAGGTACGGCCTGCATCTGCTGACCTTCGGTAATACAATATTTAACCTGGCCCTACAGGAATAGTTGTGCAGCCTACTGATCGTGTTCTACCGCCTAAGAGAAGAGACACCGGATATGAGACCGAAAATATTCAAATCGAGCAAGAAGAGCCGACCAAGGTACTAGAAAAGCAGGCTACTTTTGACGAATTCATGGTTTGGGGCCATGAAGAGGTGCCGGCGGCCGATGATGCTTTCGTCAAGGGAGTCGAAGAATGGTTGAAGATGGCTGAAGCGGTATGCAGAGACAACCCGTTAATCAGACTTGTGGCTAAACTTCAACCTAGTTACATACACAACCCAGCGACACAAAGACAAGTTCCACTTGAATTCTCGGTGCTATTTGAGCTGGACCAATGGCTCATCACCACTCACCCGAGCCTGGGATGCAGGCCCAACTGCCTGAGCGGTCTGTTCTTGAGGCGCTGGCCGCTCAGTTACAAGTGCAATGAGCTATCTAAGCAACATCGTTCGAAGTAACGCCGAACTGCTAGTTCGAGTTCTTTTCACGTCGGTTAGCGGATATCCGGGTGCCAGACTAAGTACCGAGTCATGCGAAATGTTGCCCTTGAAAATCGGCCGCTCTCTTCGTGTTGACTTCTACTCAAGTCTTATGGAAGCAATGGACTGAAAACTGCAGCCCGGCAACGAGATTACACTGCTGAAATAAGGTGTCCACGCTGTATCGCTGGGAATGTGGCGTGACTGCCCTTATCTGCTAGGGTACAGTCATCGAGACTCTTCATTTTCAGTCTAATGGCCTTTCTACAGCATGTCCTATATAGAAATTTTACGATTCATACTGCAGATGTTACCTGCCTTCGTATTGATAAGATAAGCTTTGACCGCCTGATAAGTTCTGCCCGAACGATTTGGGGTAAAGACAACATTGAAATTCCCAACTGCTGTCATCACTGTTCCTATCATTAAGTGTCTCCTTCCAAATCACAATGCAGATTCTCGGCAGTGGTGAGCGGATTGACCCTGAGGCTTTAATTCCCAAGTTTGAAGTCGACAGACTTCTCAAGCAAGGTAAAAACTGTCTCCGCTCCAGATTTAAATTCAAAAAGCACGGTGTCCCCGATACAGTTCGCACCGTATACTGAATTGACCGCGTGTAACTGATTTGTGGAGCTTTATAGATCAAAATGGCCGCCGTATCGCCATACTCGGGTCTATTGACGGCAAGCAAGGCATCCTGGTTGCAGAACGAGCAGCGTTCGCAACCGAATCCCTTGAAGTCCTTAAGGCATTCCACGCCGCAATCAGCAGCGTGAACAATCTCGGCGACAATGACATATACCGGTGGTACTTGGCGACCTCAGGCGCAGGCCAGGATGAACAGCCGTTTCACGACCTCAAACTGAACCTCATCTGGCCTTGCACGGAAAAGCACATCAAAAAGTACTCGGATCAGCTACTACGCATGGTGACTGAGACGCCGGAGATCTACCGTGACTATGTGCGACCGTATATGAGCGCTCAACGGGAGGAAGGTAGACTGAACTGGGTCTTTAACATCCTTGAAGGCCGGACAGAGCAGGAGGACGTGATTCTCCGGGACGCGGGTGAGGGCCCCGATGATGGGTTCCTGATGCTCCCTGATCTCAACTGGGACAGAAAGACGATGAGCTCTTTGCATTTGCTCGCTCTCGTGCAACGGCGAGATATCTGGAGTTTGCGTGATCTCAAGAAGAAGCATATCCCTTGGTTACGGTATCTGAGGCAGAGGCTGCTTGAGGGAACAGTGAAGATGTACCCAGAATTGGAGCAGGACCAGCTCAAGCTATACGTTCATTGTAAGTATTATCCATTAGGGCTGCCCTGGTTTTGCCTGTGTCGATGTAATGTGTACTAATTGTGATGCTAGACCAACCGACTTACTACCACTTTCACATCCACGTGGTCAATGTCATGCTCGAGGCGGGTGCGACACAAGCAACAGGGAAAGCCTTCGGGCTGGAAAATCTCATTTCTCAATTGGAGACTCTCTCTGGGGACCAGGAGGCAAGCATTGCGGATGTCAGTTTGACATACTACCTCGGAGAGGCCAGCGAGCTGTGGACGAATGTCTTCTATCCGCTGAAGAACGGGTCGAAGCCAGCAATTGAGAACTGAGAGTGCGATTGGTCATGACTGATGATACTTAGAATTATGCTAGAGGTGTCGAACGTTTATGATATGAAGGAGAAATGACTATTATACTAGATAGTCTTCCGAGCAAATTCATTTACAACTGGCGCTTCCAAACACCTTTATGCTCCCAAAGAGCTGTATCTATTGAGTTCCTGAAATTGCGGGTAGATCTTTGTTCCTAGACAAGCCTAGTAGGTGGAAGCATGAGTTGACAGTTTTGTATGTATTTATTTCCTGAAACGGAATATCTCCAACCCCGCAAAGCGACGTCAATCACCCCTCACCGCGCAACCGTCAATTCCATCGTTTTACAAACCCCCAACGATCCTTCCTTAAACCTTTTCCGACAAACTCCGAGCTCAAATAGACCTGTAATCTACGAAACTTTTAATCAATCATCAGTTTTCAAGACAGCTCGACGCTCGACCCCCATCATGACAGAGCATGTGGATGTCCCCGACACAAACAAGGCCTTCGTGCCGCTTGGTAAGTATTATATCTCCAAGCTCATCAACGATCCAAAGTATAGATACTAATATCTTAGCAGAAAACAACCCAGAAGTCATGTCCCACCTTGTCCACCAACTGGGCCTCCCACCCTCCCTCGGCTTCACAGACGTCTACTCAATCGACGAGCCCGACCTCCTCGCCTTCGTCCCCCGCCCCTCACAAGCTCTTCTCCTCGTTTTCCCCGTCTCTCCATCCTACGAAGCCTCCCGCGTTGCTGAGGATGGTCCCTTACCCGAATACACCGGCTCCGGCCCCTCAGAGCCAGTAATGTGGTTCAAACAGACGATCCGCAACGCCTGCGGGCTGATCGGACTCCTGCACGCCGTTGCGAACGGTGAACCGCGCAAACATGTCATCCCTGGCTCCGATCTGGATAATCTCCTGCGCGAAGCAGAGCCGCTGGGTCCCATCGCCAGGGCGGATTTGCTCTATGAGAGTAAGGCGTTGGAGAGCGCGCATGCGGACGCCGCGCGGTTGGGGGATACGGCTGCGCCGCAGGCGGAGGATAACGTCGATTTGCATTTCGTGGCTTTTGTGAAGGGGTCTGATGGACGGCTGTGGGAGCTTGATGGGAGGAGGAAAGGGCCGTTGGAGAGGGGACGGTTGGCGGATGATGAGGATGCGTTGAGTGAGAGGGCGTTGGAGTTGGGGATCAGGAGGTTTCTGAAGACGGAGGCTGGGGGGGGTAATCCAGATCTGAGATTCAGTTTGGTCAGTCTGGGGCCTTCTTTCGATTGAGGCTGTTGACGAGGTTTAAATGGCGGTTGAAGTAGTTTATCGTTGCGTGGTATGTTACAAATGTGTGTACAGTTAGACAGATTGAAAGGCTGTTATGCCTCACCTACAGGCGTCTCGGGCGTTGGAACTGTCTTACCAAATTGTCAGATTCAGTGCATCATGGACATTCCGAAGCTGCATTTCGAATGGCAGATGAACCTTGAGATCACGGTAGCTACACAAGACATTTACAAGCGCATTGATTGCCTTATCTCCTAGAGTAAATAAAACCTTAGGCTTCAACCCACCAGTCTTCTGAATTGAACTTCAAAGCTTCATTCCCACACGCCCACCAGCCGGCAGTCAAATTACGCGCAAATACTTCCAACGCAGAGTACGCCACGCAAGTATCACCCACCGTCGGGTCAGCCGCTGACCTCGTAAAGAATACCTGCTCAAAAATCTCCTTAAGATTTGGCTTTCGAGAATGCACATCCGGGACGCCCGCGATGACCCTCCGCGTAATAGCATCAATCGCATCAGCTGGCGGATCCATTCTCCTTCCAATAACAAGGATCTCGTACGGCTTCCGCCATAGCCCGTCCAGCGGCGTGATCGGCTCGCCCTTCGTCGTCGTCTTGATCCACACCCATTCTTCGTACACTGACAACCCTGCTCCCTTAATGGCATCGTAGGCAACTCTACGTGCCTTTGGCGCGTTAGTTATCCATATTGCTGCGATGGATACACACCCCGGATTGTCCGATAGATGGATCTTCAGAATATCCCCTATGCGCTTGGACAGTAAGCCCATGTCAGAATATGCCTGTGTCTGATAATGCCCACTGCGACGAACGGAGCGGTTCGACCACGGCGGGTCGAGGAGGATCAAGTTGAATTTGCGGCCCGGAGATAGCCCCGGAATAGGGTATCCGCTCGCCTCGTCCTCTGCTGATAACGGCAGTGAGCACAGCAAGAACGTAGACAATGGCGGCGCGAAGAAGGCATGTCGACGGGCCGTCGTTACCTCGCAGCGCTCGGGTTCGGCCTCCGCCTTGCAGCGGACATCCAGCAACGCTTGCGCCGAAGACGTATTCCTAACCATGACGTTGCAAAGTTCCGCCATGGATCCGAACATATTCAATCCCGGCGACAGGATAACCGGCGGGCTAGTAGGAGCAGACACCCCCAGCGCATCATCCGCTGAGCATCCATCCTCGCACAAGGACGTTCTGCTCCAAGGTCCGTCTCGTTTTCTCTTCAGCTGCGTCTCTTCCTCTCGGACATTTCTCACGCGACACCAGTCTGCAGAGTCCGAGTGGGCCCCGCTAATCTCCTGCAATGCCCCCCGAACCAGAGGCTCAATGACCTCGGTCTGGAAGGCTCGTTCAGAGACCGGAATTCTACTGAGAACTCTAGCTCTTGCAGCATCCGACTTTGGCTCCGTAGATACTGCGTACGGCTTCTGTAGGGGGCTTGAAGATAAGAGATGACGTTTCCTGTGATTGTCTATCCCTGCACGGTAGGGATTGCACAGTGTGGCTCCCAACTGCACCGACGAAAGTTCCTGTGCGGACGCGATAGACGTCGGGATATCAATCAAGAAGATCGTTTTTTCTGCATTTTCGTAGAGGATGGAGTGTTGTGGCATCATCCCATGATGGTATCAGCTGGTTGTGGTTCCCAAGTGGGATGGCTGAACCGTTGTTGGAAGGGGAATCCGGGGCCTACGCAAAATCATTGCTTTTCAGAGCCCGCAGAGTCTTCATTATCAGCAACACCGAATTTGGGGGCAGTCACCATTGGTAGGGAACAAATACGGGAACTACACCGCATGCAGCGATGGAATATAAAGATTTTTCACATTTAAAGTGTCTTGATAGCGGCATAATGGTGCATCTTACTTGCTGTACAGGCGTTACAATTCTATACATGAAGATCACTCATGACTGCGTGTCACACATTCAAAAACTTATAAAAACCCTATATAAGCCCTCTGCCTCTGAGTGAGGCGTCAGAGCTCGCAAGGCAAGCAGCAGCAGTAGTCACCACGATGAAACTATATTTGACAAAACTGATCATGACCGCACCGTATGCTCGGATGACTGTCGTGATATCAAGACTCGTTGACCGAGTATGAGACCAGTATTCTCAAGCAGATACAAACTGCAATACTTTTCCACGTGTCGTTCCTCTTCCCCCTCCCCGAGACGTGCCAGCGTCAGTCTAGGTATGTAGGGTCGTTTCGCTCCAGAAAAGCAGGTATTCCGTTTTTGATTTATGCTGAAAACAAACAGGAAGAGATAAATTTGTACAAGGCGTAGACTTTCATCACAAAGTTGGTTCAGAGCGTCGAACATGCAAAATCAACGCTAAGCAACGCAGTTAGGTCATGCTCCATATTCACCATTCCGAGATGAACTTACACGTCCGCGACGTCCCCCAGCCGACTGTCCAGGGGCCTGAGGTGTTTGCGAATAGAATTGAGGAGGATACTGATACATCTGAGGCGTGCCCATGACAGGGCTGAACTGCTGAGGAGCAAAGGCCTGCTGGTTCAGCAATTGAGCGGGTGTTCCAGGCATAGGAGCAGACTGCCGAAGACCGTCCACGGACGGTGCTCCGGCTGGGTAGCCAAAGCTGGGGTTACCCAGAGTAGGATAAAGACCAGCCGGCGAGACGCCCCGAGATTGGGCGACTAGGTAAGCTTGATACTGCAGCTGCTGCTGAGTGAGAGGCATCAGGGGATCCTGGACAAACCCAGCACCATTCATACCAGCAAGTCCATTGAGAGAGTTGACTGCACCTGTTGGGCTCATACCATTGACAGCATTGATCGAGTAAGGGTCGAATGGCGTAGCGCTTGGTTGCTGCTCAGAAATGGACCTTGTGTTGTCCATGTTTTGAGCAAGAAGACCGGGCGCGAACTGTCCATTATACTGCCTATCCATGGTCGATTGTGCTTGCCGAGAAGTGGGACGATGCTGCTTATTTTCAGAATGACCTGAATGTTCACGCCCGTGATGATTGTCCCGAGCGCCTCCACGTGAAGATAGTCCAACCTCATCCATGAGGCGCTTGTAGCCTTGGTTGGGAGTCGCCTTCAATTTTGTGAGAACCTTTGCCACATTCTTCACGACTTCCGCGCGCATTGACTCGTCGAAGAAAGGCGTGGTCAAGACTTTGAAGATCAATGTGGCTCCAGAAGTCTGGTCACTCAAGATCTTCTCCAAGACCTCGTCCCCAGGGCTGAAGAACAATGCCCTTAAAACGATCTCGCGAGCCTCGGGCTCGTTGCGCTGATTAATCACTTTGAGCACGGTCAGGTAAGCGACCTTGTGAGTGCACAAATGGACCAGATGGGGAACAAGTCGTGGAGCAAGTACGGTACGGCGACGAGGGAACGTGCAGGTGTCAAGGAACCAAGTTAGCAGCAAGGCGCCGTTTGCATTTGTCGCGAGCTGTACGCTGTGAAGGGCAATGGCAGCCGCAAGCATCCGTTGCTGTTCTTTTGAGGCGTGGTGGCTTTCTAGACAGGCTCGCATGGCTCGAGCGCCGAACCGTCCCTGAGCGACCTCCCACATACGGCTTAGCATGGTCTCGAAAATGAAGTCATTGTACGGAGTGCCGAAACGTAGGCAGCATTGTAAGACGTAATTGCCGTATTGGTCAAGGAAAAGCGGTACTGTGTAGGGGCGAAGAGCATCAACAATCAACTTCATCTGCGTGGGTGTCTTAGCGACATCGATGATCTTCTGAGCAGCCCAGGTACCATTCTTGTGAACACCTATCTCAGCGAAATGAGGAGCAATGGGAACGAGCATCTGTTCTTTAGTCTGCTCTGAGCAGTACTCAAAGAGTTTCTGGACGACAGTATTGCCCAAATAATCGGAAGACAGTTCCGCAATCTCCGGGAGCATTGCGACTGCAGTGTCCTCAATTTCCTGAATTGAACAAGCGCCGTTGTCGATCCTCTTGCGGATGTCTCGAAGACGTGGAGCATCAAACATCCTGGTCTGGCTGGGTTCAGGAATTGAAGGGATCTCGTCTTCAAAAGCTTGATATGCGATGGCTCGCTGAATAGCAGCAGTGATATTGAGTGCATCATCATCGGTGGCGCCAAACTCCTTGACTATCTGGATCATTTCCGGTTGAAGGTCGGGTAGGGCAGGAATTTGGGGTGCAGACGTGCCCACAGCGTCAGGCTTGTCCAGGCCGTCGGCAATACCAGACTTGAAATTTGGGTCAGGAGTGGGTGAAGACTGCACGCCGTTAGCTCCAGGGGTGCCAGATGCAGAGCTGCCAGGGACTTTGGCATAGCCGATCCGAACGGGGCCTGCCCCTGGAAAGATCTCCTTGCCGTTAAGCAATGATTTGGCTTGCACGGCGCTTTCCAGGCGTTCAAAGTTGACAAAGCCGCAGTTCTTGTGCGTCAGAACACGAGTAGACTCAATCTTGCCATACATGCCAAAGATCGCCTCCAGCGACGTGACAGTCGTGGAAACTGGGATACTGCCAATCCACAAGGCTCGCGTGGGCCCATCTTGGTTGCTTTCGTCAGTGGTCTCTCCGCTCGCGCGAAGACCCAGATTATGACCACCATTACCTCCAAGGTTCATCATCTGTACGGCTTCGGATAGCTCATCGTATTCACCAGTCTCGGCGATATGAAGATCGGCGGCGCTGAAGCTGTTTTCGAGGCGAGACGGAGTGGCAAGATAGTTGCGAATTGAAGATCTCTGGGGAGGAGCTTCTAACACACCGGCCGTTCTTGCTCGCGGCCGGTTGACCGAGGCGTGGTTGGCGAATGCTTGCACAGCGAGATTATGTTGATGAATCTGGGCCTGGGTTGCAGCCAGTTGAGCAGCTGTCGCTGCGGCAGAAGGGGTGACGGTGCCAGAGGGGATTTGAGAATAGCGAGTGGCATACTCAAGATCCTCATCGTCTGCGTATTTCTCCTTGGCATTGACAGAATAAGATCGGAATCGGTTGTTATTTTTCATCATAGCCAGTTCAGCAAGCAGTGGCGGCAACGCAGATGCCTGTTGCTGTTGTTCTTGTTGCTGCAGGAGAACATCGACAGAGGGTCTTAGAAGGTTGGCTCGTGCTTGTTGGGGGGTCTCCGCGAGTCCCAAGTAGTCCAGAGTCTTCACATCGGTATCCGCGAGGCCGTCTCTCGAAAATGAGGATTGACTGGGTGATGCAGGACCCTCCGAAGACCGGATACTGGTCAGAGTGGTCGCTCGATCACGCGCACTCGACCAGTTCGTGGAGAACAAAGAAGGCCCAAAAGGACTAGATGATGCAAGGTAATTCGTCCTCTGCGGCATTGAGCCAGCTCGAAGACGCGAGAGGGTGCCTGGGTTGCTTGCACCGACAGTAGTTGCGGCCCTTGCGCTTGTGTCGATGCCAGACACGCCTGGAGGACGGAAGGGGCTTGTGGATGGTGTAGGCCGAGAGGTCTGGGATATGAAGGTCTGTTGAAGGTTCGCTTCGTTCAAAACGCCAACAGGCGAAAAACGTGAAGGAACAGTGCCAGCTCTGGCACGCCTGGCGGGACCATTAATCGATCCGGTAGTCGTAGGTATCAAGTCAGGAAACCCTTCCTGGCTAGGAGACTCGGGGATATTTTCGCGCAACGGGGTCGAGTGGCCACTAGTAGGGGGGCCCCAAATACTCGGCGAAACGCCTTCTTCCGCTTGGATTTCTCGCGCACTGAGTACAGAGAAGAAGAATGATCAATACAGAGCACACGTCGTAAGAATGAGGTCCCGAAATTTTGGCAACTTACCGTTTCGAGTATAAGCGAGCGCCAAGCTCATGAGAAGGGGATCCAGCCCCTAGCCTTGCGCCTCCAATTGATCCCCCTGCGTTACCAAGACCATTTGCAGGCCCAAATGCAGATTTGACAGCGGCAGATGCGGACAAGTCGCTAGGGGAACTGCGCCCCGTAGAAGTCCCAGACATCGGTTGGGAGGTTGGGATATAATTGAGGTTCATGTGACCCTCCGGTCGAGAGACAGGTAGCATTATATATTATGACCCTCTACCTCAAGAAGGCGAGCTGCTTTTTCCAAGATGCAAAGCCGGTAATATACGTAGGCAAAAATGTACCGGAGTGACTGAGTATGACGGAAAGTAATTTCTCAGTTGGGGATCTGAGTCGAAGGAACCATGGGGCACAACGTAAAGTTTCGGATACTCGTACAGATACTGACAAAAGGGCGTCGTTGATCCTCGTGAAGTAACAAGATCGACAATTGACCCGCAGAGCGCAAAGTTAGCTCAGATTGAACACGCTGGAGAACGTTGTCCGTGGCGGGGTCAGATTTGGGTTGCTTTTGTCGCAGGAGAGATTCGTAAGCTTCGCACAGTAGCCGAGAGTTCGGAGAACGAGACAATATACGCGATGAATATCAATATGGCCCAAATGTAGCCGTCTATAAAATGCGTAGACGATAGCAGCTGCTAACTGACGGATGTCTTGGAAAGCCAAGCTGCCACGGTTTGCTGATATATTAGGATGTCGGGTTTAAGATCTATCACTGCGTCGCTCTAGAGAACGCCCCGGAAGGACTGTGAAGAAAATAAAAATGTCGCTCAAGCTATGACCGGCCGAGTTTGAGTGAGGTAAAGAAGAGGCGACGATTG